GGTCTCGCGAGGGCAGAACGGAGATGGCGCGGGCCCGTTCCGGTCCGAGGTACGCCGAGATGGCGGTTCCGTAGCCGGTTTCCGTGAGCACCTCGTGAAGAGAAACACGTTCTCGGGGCTTGAGCACTATAACGTAGTCTTCGGGATCGGGTTTGGGCATTGGGCGCGGCTTCCACTTCGTGAACGCCTTGCCCTTGCTTCCCGTGGCGCGTGTCGCGGGAGCATTCACTTTTCCGACCGACAAGCCGGGGGCCGTGGTGTCGCCGGGCGTCGCCATCTCGGCTTTGTCCTGTGAGCGGCGTGCAGCCGCTTGAAGTAAAGCTTGACTCCGAATTTCCGGAAAAACCGTCGGGCTTGCGTCATCGGTGGTGGGGACCGAAGCCCACGCCATCGCCTCAGGGTCGTAGCCGTGTAATGGGAGCGCGGAAGTCGACATTTTTTCCTCGGAGGGCCGACTCTACCCGCCTCTCGGCGGGCGTCTTCCACATTACTGACCCAAATTTCAACCGTGATCTAACTAGCTACTTAAACAAATGCACCAAACAAGAAGGTGATGAGAACCGCCTACATAACCGAGAAATAATGCCTAACACTCTTAACACAGCATTAACAGTTATAGACACGTGTTCTTCAAAAAACAGTGAACTGTCAATACGGACTCCAAGATCCCTTACAAAAGATACCCGGGGTATCAAGGCGCCTTCAAGGTTGTAAGAAAAAGAAATGAATTCATGCTTTCTAGATAGTACAATATGTTTAGTTTTCTCGGGATTAAACAAAAGTGCTTTTGAAGCACCAATTTGAAACATGTCCTATGTCAGCTTGAAGACGAGTGCAATCCAATACTGACCTCATACTTAAAAATAGTTTGACATCATCAGCAAAGAGAATAATTTTTGCGTCACCAACACAGGAAAAGAAAAACGAGTTAGAGGTGAATTCTAGAGTAGTTTTATCCCGTGAATCTGAATATCAGGTTTGTTTTTCCCAAAGGTGTAACTAAACGTGAGAAAACACGAAAATTCTCCGACCAGTCGTTATGCATACAGAGGGCTTTCACAAGCGCCAGGCGCATTCATGTAGATAGCGTGTGCAATTGCAAGCTTGCCAGGTATATTTCCTCGCACCGACACCATGCAGTCACAACGTTTTTTTCCGACCTTTTTGAAAATACCAAGAGTTCGCGTACGTAGCTTTGGTAGGCGCTAAAGACGTGTGAGAGCGGAGATTCCGAAAACTGTATATGACGTCACACTCTGGAAAGGAGGGGCTTCAGCGGTACTTTAAAAACTATTTTCTGCAGCCTCCGTGCACCAAATTAAAAAATGATCTCAATATTCGTGATTCTGGAGGCTAAATTAAAATGATTTAAGTGTTTTTTCTCAAATACAGAACCGCTTCAGTTTTCCTTGAAAGCTTTAAACATGCTCTTTAGAAAAAAATAAAATAATTACAAACTAATATGCTGAAGAAAAACAAGTAAAAAAGGTATTGCACCTGTAAAAATAAAACCTACAATAATTACCATCTACCATGACTGAAGTAACATTCCCTTCATGATTGAAGTAAAATAAATGGAAAAAAAGGTATTTCACCTGTTAAAATAAAACCTACAGTAATTACCATCTACCATGACTGAAGTAACATTCCCTTCATGACTGAAGTAAAATAAATGAAAAAAAAAAGGTATTGCACCTGTTAAAATAATATCTAAAATATTAACAATCCATCAGATTAAAAGGGAAAAAAAAAGCCAATGCACAAAATGAATGAAAACGATAGCTAATTTTTTCATTCTGCAGATTTCTTCGCTGTGTTTGAGGCTTTCTTCTGAGTGTAGGAAGTGTTGCTACACTTCCTTTGCTAATATTCCTTGACCGACTTCCGAGTTTCCCCCGGGGAACTTAGCTGTAACAAAAGCTGAAACGAGAAGACAAGAGACAATTAAGAAACTTGCCCTTTATATCTGGTTAATACTAAATAATTATACTTAATGTACACATAATTTCAGCAAATTTCACAAAGAGGAACCAACAAATAGAAAGCTAATCATCTAAATATATTGAGCACGGGGACCAATGACCACGTTTATTGGCAACTGTGAAATATTGCTGCTGTGAAATAATCCAGAACAAGGCAATTCGTCTATTTGCAATGCATTAATTAAAGGGATCATGAAACAGTTTTACTGTTGAAAGAGTCTGGAGCTCGTTACTTGTATTTCTTTCACCTTATCACAAGTATGAGAAAACACACCACGATCCCGGAAAATGTTGCAAGCGCGCTGCATAATCAGAAAGGAAAAAAAGGGTCAATTTTCCTTCATGCAGCTTATGGTGGCAACATGAACTACTGGCATAACGCCAATAGTGGTCGAGTTTGCGAGTTGAGCAGGTATCTGCCCAATCTGAAGCTAATGTTTTCATTGTTGTCATTCACACAAAAATAAATACATCAAAAACCTTATTGGCTTTTGATGTTTTTTTGTTGTTTTTTTGTACACCAAGTTTTAGTGGTGCAATCTACCCGAAGTCAACAAGGGCATTCATTTTCTCCCCACTTCTGCCGACCAAGCGTGACCTTCAGCACAAAACCGGATGTCTCCAGCTTCCCCATCTGGCCCCCCCTTCATGTCACACGCATGTGACCTGGAAAGGACTTTAAAGGTTAAGGGGCCCCCCAAACTTGAGTCTATTTTAGTTTTCTAAATAATAACTAGTGCACCTTGGAAAAAATTGTTTTCTTGTCTTCACTGTACATGTGACGGAAAGCCAATGCCGCACTTATTTGGCCGAAGTCTTAAGATTTCATGACCCCTTTGAGAGCCTGCAAATATACATTTTTTGCAACAGGGACTTTCAAACTTTCTGATATCAGCGAACACAAATTTCTTGTTATTGTTAGCCAAGGAGCCCCTTCCACTTTTGGCATTGTTGCAATTGAGCAGTGCAGAAGTCTAGAGGCCTTGTAAACAATAACTTGCAAACTATGGAGTGTTTAACACTGGTGTAAAAAGAATTGAGGAAGCTCAGATGCTGAGAGAACCCTAGGGATACTGTAATAGGAACCCTGTTTGAGAACTTGTGCTTAAGGATATTTGGCTAGAAAATCAGAGATAGCATAGGCTAACAATAATTTTGACCGAATAGCTGACCACATTTTTTTATGATAATTCAGGGTTTACTGATGCAAAACCAACAATTAATGTACCAAACAATTAATTAAAAAAAAAACAACTAAACAAGCCGATGGATTTGAAATATTCAGCAGCCTAAAGCTTGCATAAAAAGTCAGCTGTCTTCAGAAAAGCATACACAAGAAAACAATCCTAAAGGTTCATTAAATTTGATCGCTGATATACATCAGCGACCAAAAGGTAATGTTGAAAAAATTGGCAGTTTGTATTTTTTATAAATTGTTTATCCAAGCAAAAGTGACGAAAAACACGTCACCTGGCCCCAAAAAACTGCTATTCCGCTTCGTAATCACTTAGAAAAAACCAATTATTTGCGACCTGCAGCCTTGCGGTTACGGGAACTACGGTGATAGCGCCTCTGGGAGACATGCGGAAGTCAACAAAAACCTGTCCCCCTCCGCTGCTATAGACCATTCATTAGGGTCATACCAGAGAGGGTAATAAAGAATAAAATGCCCTCCCCCACTCAGCCCGCATGTCGTCTGCTCCACCGAGTGGGCTGTACCTGGCATCCGGCTGGCGTGCAAACTCTGTTCAAAATCGCGTCATTTTGAAAATTTCAAGCGCAGATGCGCAGATTTTGGTATGCCAGTTATCGTGTAATACTATGCTAGATAAAAAAGACTAACAGGTAACAGCGATTGCGCTGTTACCTGCGTGGAAATAAAAAGATAGGGGAAACTGTGTCAGATTGGCCAGTCTCTCCGGGAAAAAGTAAATCTGGTTGCTGTATTTTTTTTTACTATACGAAGTTCGTACTGGTGTAGGCCTCTAGCGACCATGAGTGGAAATCTGAAATAGTAAATAAAAACGTGCTCTCCTGCCGCAATTTACGCAGTAGTTGAGGGTATAGTACTGCCGGCTGACTCAACTGCTGTTTAAGTAACGGAAAAAGATATGCTAGTTAATCATTTACCGAAATAGAACAAAAGAGAGCTATAGGCTGATTTTGGAGTAACCATAACTATTCTAAGAAAGCGATCCACTTCACAACGGCAGCCACGAGCGAAAGTTCGATGTTCCGTACAGCCCGCCGGTACAGCCCAAAGATGGAGAATGGCAACCTCCAGGTTTGTTGTCTGCTAGCGGAGTCGAGCGCGTGCTCTCTCTCTCGTTTTACCCCGCCGAACCCGCTGAATTTCCCGGCTGTACGGAGAGGGTGCTGCTGTTGAACGAAATAGTGCCACCCAGAAAGCGCTAAATGGAATGGTCTATACTCGCCGACAGCTCCGTGGCGAAACCACTTTTGTGTTCATCGCTCGCCACGACCTTCGACGATGCTAATCCTTTAAAAGTCGACAATCGCGGAAGAAGCGGCTGGGGTCTCCGAAGCGAGAACACAAACGGAAACTGCGTGATCCCCCAGAGTATGTCACTCGAATGGCAATGTGGAGAGTTAAGAAGCACTTTGACTGTCGATTTGTTACATCCTTTTAAATAAAAACTAGAGCTCGCAAGAAATTACGGTGTTCTGTTCGTTCCATAGGTGACACAGATTAGTTTCCGCAGTTAATCGCCCATAGTCTGAAAATCGTTGCACCGCCCCTTTAAGCCGATTCAACATAAGAGTGAATTTTAATCTCAGCAAAAATTAAAGTATGCTAAAGCTGGGGCACATTATTGGAAACTGGAAGTGTAACACAGACGTAATGATGTATGAAGAAGACAAATACCTGAACATTAGCCAAAAAAAAAACATCCATGAGCACCGAGACACAAATCAAATATGTGTCAAAAGTGTAGCCTTAGCAGTTGTTCCAGTTAAGCTTGATTGCAATAGTGCCTTGCCATTTCTTCTTTACAGAAATTTACTCACCTATCAAGTCCCTCACTCCCTCTTCGGGAAGCCTCCCCTTCGCTGCAGAACCAGTCAGGCAGCAGTTCGTAAGGGCCTCCGTCCCAAACACTGCGACCGCAAGGTCCTGTGTGAAGATTGACGGCTGCTTGCACTCTACAAGTTTCAGGTGTGCCTCGGGAACAACGATGTCTCCAAAGGATGTCTGAAACATTGGGCCAGTTGGTTCATTGTATTAAATGTTTAAAAGTGCCAAAAATAACAAGGACTAAGACAAAGGTAGACAACACAAGGCACACTCACAACAGTTGTTTATTTGGAAAGAACATTAACTACAGTCTAAGCTCCTTATAACAGACCTCAATTTTGACCAAGATTTTGGTCTGTTGTAAAAGGAGTAGGCTGTATGCAGATATGAAGTTGAGTCAATGGCGCATAGAGGAAAACCAACCAAACTTCACAAATCAGTATGTTATATCCAAATGTCTGTTGTAACCAGGTCTGTTATAATGAGCTTAGACTGCATATAAGCCCCATCGGCCAGCCAAGTCATCATCACTCCGAGCAAAGCATTTTTGCTTAGTAGGGTGATTGATGACTCACCTATACACACTCTTTTCCTTTTGCCAAATGTTTGTATGCCTCGGGCAGTTCTCTGCTTGCCCTGTCATTGTATCTAGCAAGAATGTTAACATCATGTAACACCGGGGAGCAGGAGCACCTACTGCAGTGAATGGCGAGGTGGCCAGCTAGGCTAGCTCGCGTTGCAGCAGCGTGCTCATGGGCACGGCCATTCACACGCCTGCCCATCTGGCCAATATATACTGCTCCTCGCAATAGTGGTATCTGATACACAATGCTCGAGGTACACTCAGCAAATTTATTCTTGTGTTTTATGCTCAGATGGCTGCTCGGGGATCTTGATTCTGTGGCAGAGCCAATCCATCTTACTAAGAGCCAAGAACACGGCAGGAATGCGGTAGCACTGACCAACTTTTTTTGTGTGGCGCTGAGTGTAAGTATTGTACCACAGCTGGTCTCACGAGCATGTTTGCTTATGCCTCTAAACTTTTTTAAGAGGCTTTTGGCAACCTGAATTAAGCGCCGTTCACACACTTGCAACCGAGTATGAATAAGAGACATGACCGGTTTTTAAGCCTCTTGCGTTGGCGTAGGACGAGATGGCACTGCTGTGGAGCAGGTTGTACGCCGTCGCAAGAGGCTTAAAAACCGGACTTGTCTCTCTCGGTCGTACTCGGGTGCAAGTGTGTGAACGGCGCTTTAGACACATCTGCGGCTAGCCTGCTTCTTTCAGTCGTGCAATCTGTAGCACAAAGCTATCTTGTACAGAATGGCCTCAAGATTTCTTCAGAGGTCTTTAAATACGTTAACACTGCCACTTTTCTTTTTCTTCTTTTAAGGGGCATTGCCAATGTTTTTGGAGGCCTCTTTCAAAGAATCTTGTGGCCATTCTGTACGGAATAGATCGCGCGACAGAAAGCCTACACGCAGATGTGTCTAATTCAGGTCGCCGAAAGCCTGTTAGAAAAGTTTAAAGGCATAAACAAACCCGCTCGTGAGATGTCCAAGGTAAGACCGGCTGCGATACCATACTGTCGAGATCAGTTGTTTTGAAGTCGGTTATAACGAAATAGCGGCTACAGCGAAGGAATCAGGATTTCCCCATTCCCTTTTGCACTTCGTTAACTGAATTAGGTTTAAACGAAATAGCGAATATAGCAAAGTGATTTCCGATTCCCATTGTCTTCATTATAACCGGTCTCGACAGTACTTACATTCAGTATCACGCAATTAAGGAAAGTCGATCAGCGCTACCGCATTCCTGTGGTGTTGTCAGCACTCAATAAGATGGTTCGGCTCTGCCACAGAATCAACAGCCCCAAACAGCCATTTGAGCCTTGCAGCATAAAACACAAGAATAAATTTGCTGAGTCTGCCTCAGGCATTGTGTATAAGATACCACCATCGTGAGGAGCAGTGTATATTGGCCAGACGGGCAGGTGTGTGAATGACCGTGCCCATGAGCACGCGGCTGCCACACGCCATTCACTGCAATAGATGCCACTGTTCCCCGGTGTTGTATGATGTTAAAATTCTTGCTAGATACAATGACAAGACAAGCAGCGAACTGCAGGAGGCGTACGAAATTTGGGCAAAAGAAAAAGAGTGTGTAAGTGAGGCATCAATCGCCCTATTAAACAAAAATGCTTTGCGCGAAGTGACGATGACTAGGTTGGCCGATGGGGCCAAGTAAGTAGCTATGGTTCTAATAGAACCTCTCTAACAGGCACATTTTTTGCTAGAACCTGTGGCTCAATCACACTTCTAAAAAGCACTCCAGCTGCCGATGGAATTTGTTCGTCAAAAAAAAGACTATAAACTGTTGAGGCTTGTTACGCCGCCGTGCCCGTGCAATGTACTTGGGAAATCAGTTTCCCAAGTACAACCCTGCCATATGCCAGTGCTCGTCGGCGGAGGAAGTTAGAAGATCAGCGTTTAACAAACGCCGTGCCTTATTTCGAGTAGGTCACCTCTGCACATTGCTTGGCGACGACCAAGAAATATGCGAGCATCGAACGGAAACTGTTGACAGCACTGGGGTTCGATTTTCTTCTCGGCGAGAGTGAAGGAGCTAAAAGTCCGTTTGCAAACGCGATGCTTTACAGTGCGAGAAAAAGAAGAGTTGGGGGAGTCAGTGCAACCCAGATACAAAGACTTAGCACTGGATTTTCTGTCACCAAAAAGGGGACCACACAAAGCACAGATGGAACACGAATGAAGCATCATCGTTCAGATGCGATTCATGTTCTCACTTAAAGGGGCACTGACACCCCAAAAGTCGTATATATTTTTATTGTCTAAAACGATGCAAGTTGCAGTCATAGACACGTAAAAGAAAACCGCATCGCGAAAAAAAAATTTCCCGCGTGCGCGCGCGCCTTTTATTTTTGTTGTTTGATTCTCCCACCACTCCCCTCCTCGCTTCTTTTGATTCATGACGTCAAGAATCATGAAATTTATAAACTTTGTAGGCGACATCTTTATAACATTTAATAACGGCAATCCTAAAACATGTTTTTTAACGCAATTGCGAACGCACTACGGCCCTTCTTGAAATACCAAAAATCAGGAGTTTGTTGTGGATTTGTCCTGGATTTGTATCCTCCAACGGAAAACAGGCGACACCGCTCAAAACCGGTCTGCCGCAACGCCGGCGCTCGCTCCTTTCCTCCTCGCTTTGGGTCGCCATGGCAACAGCAGGGAGTGGTGAAAGAAAGTGGACTTTCAGGACTCCGCAATATTTGACGTCAAGGCACCGGCGCCGATCGCGCAGGAACTTCGAATTCGGCATTTGGAAATTGTTTTTTTACTTCACAAATACTGAATTCCCAAATTTCAAATCTTGAGGGTCCTGGTATCGTTTTCAATCGTTTCGGATAATAAAAAAAAATATGATTTTGATGTGTCAGTGCCTCTTTAATCGGCAGTCAAGGCTGACATGACACTCGTGTTCAATCCGCGCATCGCACCGACTCCTTTTAGGAGACATAAGAAATCGTTGCTAAGGCCTCGAGTTCGTCTAGGTTGTGTTGGTTTCGTCTGCCATGAAGTGTCAATCACCGACGAAAACAAAACAAAAAAGACATTGTTGTGTCATCTGTTAAGCGAGATTTAAAACAATCTGTGAATGTCTGCTGTATCACAAAGGATGCAATAGACCTTTTTTAAAAGCTGCACCTCCACTGGTGCCAAAAGGCAGCGTGCTGTCGCAAACCGGCTGTAGCTGACAACAGAAAGAGGGCAAGCAAGAAAAGGGAGGCAAGCGGTGAGGCCATTGCAATGTGAGGAGGCATGTGACAGAGCCTTGCACGAGCCCTCGTGAAGTTTCTGAAAAAGTCCTGTTGACTTGCCGTGTTTTGTTCAGAAATGCCAAAATTCGTTTTCCTGTTGTAGAGTGACATCTGGCAATGCAATTCCTGCCTTCTGTTCTGATTGGGAAATTTTCTCCAGCAGAAATAAAAAAAATATCTCTGACCAATCTGCTTGCCGTTGGATATTTCCCACACTTCTGACGCCCGGCGTCAAAAGTCTACGGTTGTGGTTCGAGCGTCAAAATAATCTGCTCAAATTCTGGCACCCAGCGTCAAAAATTGGGCAGATTATTGTGTGGACCCGCAGATGTACTTGAGCCATTAGGGTTAGGAACAAGACAAGATAAAAGATGCACATCTTTAACTGCGATGTGAAGAGAGGAAATCGTTACATACCGTGTTCTGCACAACACTCCCTTGAACCACGGGGCCCGTCACTCCACGGGTCTCCAGAGCTGCAACGAGGGTTGGCACACTTGCCAGTAGGAAGCATTCATCACAGTGACATTACAATGGAAGTCTTCGTTGTCCGTCCCCCCTTTCTATGTATCTTCCTCATGTCTAATTACCGTTACCAACACGCTCGTTTTGTACTTAATTACAATTAGATATTCAAATTATGAAAAAATTAATGGTTAACAACCATCGTGTTGATGGTTGTTAACCATAAAGTAATAAAGGGGCTATGGCATCATAGCCCCTTTAAAGTTAGACATAAGTTACACCTGGTTTAACATAAAGAAAAATTGAGAGAAAGGTGCACACAATAAAAGCAGACACTGCACCAAACTTGCTCCTAGACTTCAAATTTTTTTAAATGAATGGTGAAAAAGCAGGAAGCTCTGAAATCTAAGCCTAAAATCCCATGCTTGACATGTGTATGCTCACCATAAAGAGACCATTTTTGAAATAATCCGAGCACTTTAACTTACGCTAGAAATATTATGGGAACATATTCTCATCTTCAGGCTGATCTCCCTTCACACAGCTTCGCACCCCAATAGACCATTTGCTATATTCCCAAGCACCCCAGCCGCACTCAAGGAATCATGAGAACGGTGTTCCTTCAGCTCCTTAATGATCACTAACTTCAACCAATTCCATGGTTACACAGCTTGAGCATAATTCGGAGTCACCCTGAAGAAGCGACTGATATACCCGAAGGACCTGTCATTTCACTTTTAAACCTTATTGTCAATGTCAACATTTTTTACACTGTGCATTCGATCCACCTTTCAATCTGGCCGAACTGCAGAAATCTCTTACAATGTTATTATTCTTGTGATTGTTGTTTTAGCAGGAGTTGCTTAAAAAGCCGAGAATTCACAACAGCAAAAACCAGGATTTAGCTCGGAGTCAGCGGGGCTGTTTATAGCATTTTTAACTTATATCAGCGTCTTTGAAGCTGTGTGAGAATGATAATAATGTAAGAGATTTCTGTAGCTCATCCAGGTTGAAGGGTGGACAGCATGCTCAGTATCAAAAACGTTGACATTGAGGAGAAATTTTAAAACCAATACGACAGGTCCTTGGGGTATATCAGGCGCTTCTTCAGAGTGACTCCGAATTACGCTCAAAAGCGGTGTAACCATGGATTGGGTCGAAATTACCAATCACTACGGAGCGCAAGGAACCCATGATTCCATGATTTCTCTAGCATGGGCCAGGGCGCTTGGGGGATATTGCAAATGGTCTATACCCCTAAAGTCTTATTTCTTGACCTTAGTCAGCTCACTTGTCTACTTCAGTTGCTGTTACTTTTGTCGTCGACATTGCACTTCTAGCGCACATTCAGTGTTTTTGTGCATATTTCACTGCTTTCGACACGGGCACTCACTTTCAACATGCCGCTTCACAAACAGTTCCCAAATTGAGACAGATCACTGTGGCCACTTCATATCACACCATGAGCGGCCTCGTTTCACCTATGTACAGCAGCAAGTTTAAAGAGTGATGCACATGCTAGTCCTGTATGCAGAACAGCAAATTGACACATGAGAGTTGACACTGTGAGTCAACATAGGGACAGCAGACCTCCAAACCCAAGAAGGATCGGCTCTCGCACTGCAATTCAATGCTTCACCATCACAGATGTCCGCTACCCTGATTTCGAAAAAGTATTCCTGTATCTGCATTCAGTTCAACTGAAAAAAAACTTATGGAATGACAGAAAATGGTAGCAGCAGTAGTACTCATTTCGGGATATGAAGCAGCTTGTTAACCCTTCAACGCAAAAACTTAAGGGAATGCGTCCTACAAAAAAATGTTTAAACATTATTTTTTATTTCACATACGCATTTTGAAGTGTGTCCTCCAGCACCACCCTCTTGCTTGCTGGGGTGCACGTAAGTGCGCTGTGGGTCGTGCCATAATCCGATTAAGCCTTCTTAAGGCATCATACCGTGATCGGATTATGACGCAGCCCACGTGCTTCCTAGCAAAGAAGATAGCGGCGCCCAGAGGACGTACCTTCAAACGTGTATATGTAATCAATTACTAAAGTCTCTTTTGGGTGCAAATGGACTCTTAGACAAAATTCTAATATGTCGCGAATTCGCAACATCGGGCAGTTAGGCCTGGACAAATAGGTTAGGCACGTCGAAGCAGAAGAAAAAAAAAGATTTTAGGAAAAACTTTTTGCAACAATGAGAAAAAAATTCTTATTAGTTTGGTGCAGCTTGAAAATACAAAAAATTTGTTTGAAAAGATAAGCCCAGTGCCTTGATTCAGTTCCATGCGCGCTATGGCTGGCAGAGCTTTCTAAAGCAGAAGGGGTGCCGCTGACACTCGTGACGCCACTGCTCCTCGACCTTATGGTAATCGCAATAATTGGGAATATTCCACTCTATAGTCCATGACAAGTCAAGAACAAAGTGGAAGTTCCTCTGACCTCTTTCCACTTTAGCAGAGCGAATGCTGGAGAGGGACAACCTCCTCTCCAGCGTTCGCTCTGCTCAAGTGGAAGGGGGTCGGAGGAACTTGCACTTTGTTCTTCACCTGTCACCATCTATAGCTAGTCATAAAAGGACTGATATAACCTGGGAGTTTCCAGATATTTGTAAATTTGGTCATACGTTCCAAAGCAGGGAGAAGATCGTCGAGCATGAAGGCCATCTGTGCTTTGCCCTCGACGACCTTCATCTCGGCCTCCTCCGCCCTGGCCTCGGCCTCCTCCGCCCTGGCCTCGGCCTCCTCCGCCCTGGCCTCGGCCTTCCCCGCCCTGGTCGTGGCCTCCTCCGCTCTGGCCACGGCCACCTCGGCCCTGGCCTCCGCGTCCTCAGTCTTTGAAGGCCCTGCCCTGGCTTCGGCCTCGGAGGCGCTGGCTTCGGTCTCGAAGGCCCTGGCTTCGGCGTCGGAGGCCCTGGCTTCGGCATCGAACGCCCTGGCTTCGGCGTCGGAGGCCCTGGCTTCGGCTTCGAAGGCCCTGGCTTCGGCTTCGAAGGCCCTGGCTTCGGCTTCGAAGGCCCTGGCTTCGGCTTCGAAGGCCCTGGCTTCGGCTTCGAAGGCCCTGGCTTCGGCTATGGAGGCCCTGGCTTCGGCCTCGCTGGCCATGGTCTGGGCCTCGCTGGCCCTGGTCTCGGCCTCGCTGGCCCTGGTCTTGGCCTCGGCTCCACGCTTGGCCTTTTCAGCAGGGCAGGCCAGGGCAGGTACCATGAGATGAGCTTGTGGCGTGCGCCCAGAAGATGCACCAAGCTATAAACAGCAAATATATGCAGTAATGATAGATTATCAGAGTTGTACAACAAAGTATAACATTGGAAGTCCTAAGCAACTGCTCCCCAGAAGTGACCTTTGACAAACTCGCAAAGTTGCATTCCTGCCGCCCACTGACTTTTTCTAATGCTTAGGAGAACGACAACGTATGTCATCTGCCCTCACAGTGCAGAGGTTACTGAACCAGTAAATCTATAATCTCCAGTTACCTCAGTGGTCTGAACAGCTTGTAGTGGGCCTGAATGAATAAATTACTAGTACACTTAAAAAAAAAGAAGTTAATGACATTGAGAAAAATAAGTCTAACCAAACACCAAAACGGCAACATCATATGAATACTGATATGCCGTCAATAAAACTAACACTTTTATAACAAAAAGGTTTCTATACATACCTCCCAACCTTTAATATCTTGGCGCAGCCTTTTCAGAAGCTTATCTTCCACACAGTTTTTCCTCTTAGAGGACTGCTTCTTCTGCAACGAGCGATTTCAAGAAAATCGGTAAGCTTTAGCAAAATTCGAAACATGAATGGAAAGTTCAGAACTTGTTCTTGAATTTCTCATTGTTTCCATTTTCAACTAACATTTTCTGCACTTAATTTTTTACACCGTCCCACTGACCTCAAAGAAAGCAAAGTAAATAAAAATTAATATTAAATTTTCTTATCTTAGTTAAGGCTCATGGATCGTGCATCGCATGTGCACAAAATATATTTATAGATAAGACATCGTTCAGCAGTTTTAAAACAAAATATTATAAAGCCCTGCTATGCAGATGTAGTCCGGTGGACTTCGTTATAAGCCATTTCCAAGAGCAACCAGAACTGTTCCATGAGGTTTGGATGCTAAAACAGCTTCTCAGTATACTATGTGTCTTTATGCAGCGGTTCCTCCTTAGAGCTGGACTTTGGACTGATCATGTTACTCTGGCATTGCGGCACCAAGCAGTACGATACCATCGCTCCTAAAGCACAGAAGCTGCTTAAGCAGGTGAGGAAGCACAAAAAATAGTGAAAAAGTAATGTTTTCTGCAGAGAGCAAAGTAAGACGGAATATCCGGCCTCGTCACTTAATCCTGAACCCCATGTCAGAATCGACCGATCAGCACTCCCATCAGTTGTGCTCGAAGCCAGTGGTGCACAGCCAAAGGGACATTGTAAAGCCTACAGATACCGTTCCCCAAAAATTGCTTACCTCACTGTCCTTCGTTGAAGAGTTCTGCTGATTTACGTATTTGTCCAGCAGCTCTTTCAGCTCGGACCGGGAGTCTGGACAACGACAAAATAAAATGTACCAAAATACAAGTTACAGCTAATTTCAACACCTGAAACACTTGACAGCCTATACACCTTTCCAAAAAACGCTCCTAGGCCCCCGCCATGTTGCTGATGCTGATGTGGCTGGTGCGACTCTCGCGCCCTATATCAGCTAGAAATTTTCTGCCACTCTCTGGGACTGTGAAGACCCGCTCAGGGCGGTTCTCTACCTATGTTTCTTGCGGTTTTGCATTCAACGTTTTGTGCCCCTCTTGAAAGTTTCCACTTAATTTTTTTTATGCATGCTGCGTACCCTTTTTGTGTTATCTTCTATTGTGAAAAATAAGGCTGGTAAGTGCCTGCCATTCAAGCTTTTCTGCTCGACATCCACGGGAAACGAAGGAGGTGAAGGACGTCGAACGACCCTCGACGCGATTTTGCGAACATTGTTCTCCCCCCTCCCCGAGATAATCCGCGTAGAATCCTCAGTCATCTCCAAAAATAGTTGTCCGGGTTGGGGTGAGAAACGGGTCAGTCGCGTTTGTTTCTTTGCCTTGGTGCGGTTGTGAAAAAAGGAAGCTCTCCCCAAAACGTGTCCAAAACGAAGTCATCTCGGATTCCGCCCCGATCGTCAAGATGTGACTGTCGTCGACTGTGACTGTGTTATTTGAGATCTTTCTCAAATAAATTCTTTTCGGATAACGCTGGATTGTGTGGTACGTACGATATATTGTTAGGATGTTAACACTTCCTCAATGCGGAGGGCAAGTTTGTCTGCTTCTTGCGCAGGGGATAGCGGTGACGTCAGAACGCCGAGCCCTGATTGGCTGATCGCGACCCCCTATTTGAGCGTCGTCTGCTCCTTTGCAACGTCGTCTGCTCGCAACGTCATCTGCGTCTGTCTTACCTTGCCTGTGACTTTCGGAAGTGTAGAGGCCAGATTCACGAAACGATCTTACGGCAAAAATGTGCGTAAGACAAAACTTAACAAATTCGTATTCACGAAACGAACATTTCTTAAGTTTTGCGCAGGTTACGACGAAATCCTACGACAGCTCTGAAGCTGTCTTACGCACTTCTTACGATCAAATCAGCGTGGCCGACAGCGTCGCAGTCGCGACGACCCACGGACGTTTATTTCTCTACGTGCGCTTCTCACGCTTCGCGACTTCAAGCAGCAAGAAAAAAAGTAAAAAGTACTTGAAACAGACCACGACGAACAAGAACGCTGAATCCAAAAACACCCGGGAAAAGCTCCAACGGCCAGGGTTCCACCAAACGCGACCAAGCGAGCTCGGCAGTTAGCCCTAGCAGGCACTCCGCGATTCGGCGACCGTCTGCCCACGACCGGCTGGCGTGCTGAAGGGAATATGCCCGCGCGACCCTCGTGAATCCTTCCCGTATTATACTTTGATCGCTGACCTCAATTTTAGATTAAGAGGTCAATTTCTTCCTCTTGTTATCTCCTTGTTTCCCGAGGCAACGGTGATGCTCGCCGTTGAAAAAGCGGTGAATCTCCGACAGACGCAGGAAAGTTAAAGCAGCCATCACTTTGACTAGCAGACGTAAAGCAGACGACATTAACTGCGCCAACCCGCCGACGCCGTTAAAGAGTGAGGGGTCTCGCCACACACTAATGGAGGGGGAAAGTATTTGGGAGGGAACTTGCGGACACTAACACGCTCACTCTCGGTTCTTAGCAAGCAAACCTCGGCGCCTCGGGACACCTCGCCAGTGAGTCCTTTGACTTCCCTCCTTGATGCGCGTCTGCTAGTTGTTCGACAAAAACATAGTACCGCTCGAGTTATTTCGTCTGCCTTCTCTGAAAGGCGAAGTCGAGTTCGCTCGTAAAGACCTGCACTTTGTGGTCGGTTTGCCTTGCTGCATACCCGACCCGGAGGAATAACACGGAGCCAACGGTTTCAACAACAAGAAACTACATTTAATAAGACAAAGACAATCACAATACTAACATGGTTATTTCAGCTCGGCGGAAATCGGCCGACTGCCCTCGCGCCGCTCCTGTCTCGCCTTATCTAACCGAGCGGCACGAGGCGCGCGTGGCCGGCTGCTTCCCGAATGATGGCCGCGGTATTTTGGGTACCGGGCAACCGTGTGCCCCCACACTCTCCCCCCTTAACAATCGGGCATGTCTATCACGATGTCGTCAGCGTCGAGGGGTGGGGTGCGTTAGCGCAGGAGGTCCGGCCGGCGGTGCTGGATCAGCGCGATGGCCCGCTCTAGGTCGCGCTCGTTCAGCCTGTTGATGCGGGCGATCCTGTCCGCGTCTGCCCTTTTACCGTGCAGCTAGCCACGGATGTGGGCCGCTCTGGATATTTCTGGCACCCCACAGAGTGGGCAGTGGAGGCGCAACTCCTCGGCTGTATATTGCGCAGCCGGCTCTGTGGGGTGGCAATCTTCGAGGGTCCGCCTGCAAAATGGCTCCGGAATATTGGCTGGACGGCAGCCGTTCTCGGGGCGGGGCTGCTCTCTCCAACGCAGGTCTGATGCCCAGCCGACAGAGGTGGCCCCCTCCAGTACAGTCCAGGTGGCGACGGATCGTTGTGGCCGGCTGCTGCACCGTCTGCATAGGCCGGGTCCGTTGGGCCGTTCTGTAGGGGGTGGCCGTGGTCCACGGCGCCCTGGGCCGCCCCTGCCGCGCCGACGTCCTTGGTGGCCCTGCATACCATGTGCCCGGCCGCCATGTCGTTCTGATGGCGGGGTGTGGTGACGGTTGTTGTCACGGGCCATCTTCGTGAAACAAGAGAGGGCAGGGCAGGTGTTTAGTTGCGAGCAAAGTTTTGCTGCTACCCCCCTGCCAAAAAGTTCCAAATAATGGATCTGAGGTGGGCACACGATCGTCCCCCCCTCTCTTGAAAGGGGAGCAGATCCGTGAAAGTAGAAAACTACCCCCAAAATGCGAGAGAGGCGAAGACAGGAGACACAAAAAGAAGGTTCCTCTCTCCTTTGCGTCACCGACGTCGCAGGTTATACCGCTGCCTTGGTGGAGACAAGGGGTGTCCGGAACACGACTGCCGTCAGTGTCGTTCCGGTCCTGCGAGGGATCTTCGTCTCCTGCTTTAAAAAATGTTTAAGGTCGGTGACATGAACAGGTCCGGTTTCCTCACTAGACTCACAATGAACTAGTTTGTAAGCGAGTGGTGAGCACTTTTCACGCACGCGGAACGGACCTTCCCACCTGTTGGCGAGGGAGGCTGCGAAGCCTCGAGTGGCGTCGCTCAGTGGGTGAGTACGCCGGAGCACAAAATCTCCCACCTCAAACAACAAGTCACGTCGCCCCCGGTTGTACTGTTCAGTCTGCTGTACCCGGGCGACGTCGAGATTTTCTTTGGCCTCTCGAAGGTTATCGGAGAAGCGCTTTCGCAGGTCCTCTGCGAACTTCACGTAGGGGCGAGGCCTTCCTCCAGACTCTGTAGAAAGGGGGCTGTTAGAAAGCGGGAATGCGAGCTCCTTGCCGAAATTTAATTGGGCAGGAGTGAGACCCGTTGACCGATTAGTGGTTGTACAGGTTGCGAATGCGAGCTCGGGCAGTTTCGCGTCCCAGTCCTTGTGGCGCTCGGTGTAGGCCACTAGCATCATCTTAAGGTTCCGATTTACCCTTTCCGTGATGTTTGCTTGCGGGTGGTACGGCGAATTTCTTTTGTGCTTGATTCCCAGTACCG